GGAAACTTTTAGCAACAGGGTAATACTTGGTGAGCCAGATGAAGGCATGAATATAATGAGTAACTTTACTATTTGGAATCACTGTTATAGATCATGTTTCTGGTGGGTAGGAAGAGACATGTTCAGCTTCTGTTGGATATGACATTTTTTCACTTCATTTGTTGCAGAAGATATTAGATTCCTTTCAATACTTATACTGTTGTATTTATTAAATGTAATAAATGTAATGGCATAGATGGGAGCAGGATAGGCCGGTAATTTATTAACTTAGCTGAATGACTGAGTTTTCAAGATAGATTTTGGATCATGTAGTTAGTAGTATGAAATTTTAAACCATAGGAACTAATGCTGAAATTATTCCTGAGCAACAAATAGGATATGCATCTGTAGCCTTTTAAAAATATGTTGAAAGCCTCATTTAAAATACTGAGCATCATGAGTTATTTGGGGATAATCATGTATTCAGGATTGCAAGTAGTGAGGCTTTTTTCAGTAAAGAAAGTAGCTTTGTTTACATGATATTTTCATGTGTGTTCATATACCTGAAATGCTCATTTATGGTTTGTTTATTCTGTGTAATATGTTATTCATGACAAATTATATAAAAACTGATGTTGATACCAGTATTGTTATTATGACTGTTTTCACTTACAAACCAAGAAAACTGTGAAGGTGTTGAAGCCACTTTTCATAGGATGTAACAAATTTTAAGGGAACTCTGTTGGATTAAGTAGACTGAGCTATTCTCATTCTGTGGACCATCACTTGGTTTTTTAGTACTGGTATAGATTTAGACTAAACCTAGAATAAATTCGTCCATTTCAGAAATGCACACATATAGTTGAGGTTAAGAAAGTGTGAATTGTAGTAAATTGAAGTATCCAACATTTAGGGAGTTTATACATGACATAGTGACAAAATTATTTTCAATTAAAGTTTTAATTTTTATGGAGATTCCACTATCTTTAGATATGTAAAATTTAAAATATTTTGATTAGTAATTAGCCAACAAAATCTAAGATGTGAAAATCTAAAGATTGTCTAATTGAGCCCAGAATCAGAAAAGTGGCACACCAAGATTTGTAGAAATCTGAAACTAATCTCTCGCATAAGATGTTGACTTTCAGTGAATCCATGGAAAAATCACTCATCCATAGTTAATGCTGTATACTCATAGAATATTATTAAAATCCAATAACAATACTAATGTAATGTACAGCAGAAATGTACTGTGATACCACGTTACAAGATTGAAGTGAGTGAATAAAATTATGTATGTTTTCCTATCTAAAAGGGAAGTAGAAAGTGCTGATGTTCAAGCAGAAACTCCTAGTCCTTTTACCAGGACATTCTACATGACTGATTCACTGTGAAACCTTTTATCTCCATAGCATAAACAGTAATATTATACATGCAAATGTATTTATATTTCCATATTAATGAATATTTATAGTTTTATTTGGATTACATGGAAGTTCCCTAAGATTATACAGTTCACATTTTGTATTATTTTTATTTTATATTCAAAGTGTTGGTGGAAATATATATTTTTTATTCTGTGGTTTTCTTTTATATTGTTTTATTCATCCTTCTCCTTCATTGCATAGCATACAAAAATACACACCAAAACACATCATTAAAACATTTAGGTGAAGTTGAACAAGCCAAGGCCCATATTATGTTTTTGATAATGTAACTGTAATGTAAACACTTCAGCTGTTTGTTTAGGTATTTCTAATTAACATAAGTATATATAAATAAATAAAAAAAATTAATATGCACTCATAGGTCTTGGTTTATGTCATGTCAAACTGGCTACAAGAGGCTGCAGGTGGGATAATCACATAGCCAAGCAAATACTTGCTATACTTCTTCCTCCTTAAGTAGCCCCTATGAATGGTGCCAGTCTGTCCAGGTGTGTCATCATCTTTGTCCTAGGATGTTGGATCCCATAGACCACATCAATAACCTAGGTAAACATCTTTTATGGATCTTCCCATGATGGCTGAAGCTGTGGCAACTTTGCTCTGGTTTGGGCAGTACAACCTGATTTGATCTTCCTCAAAATCCATGGAATTATCCAGGCAGTTGTAGCAGGCCTTCATCATGTTACTTGTCACCTTCATATGTAAGACAGTAATGTATATCATGCAGTTGATTCATAGACTTCATCAGGGGGAGCCCCAAACAACAGGTCATAGGATGTAGTGATCTCCTGAATTCCAAACTAACTGGTGTGCCCTTGGTCTTAGGGGTTGTACACAAGCAGAAAGATGGGTAACCTGTTGTACCAACCTCTCTGTTGCATTGAAATGACCCTCCATAGGTGTTCCTCTATCACCTTCAATCATCAGTCCACCATGACATCTGAATCCAGGCAAAAAGGGGTGGTTCATGTATTGCTTATTCCCAGGCACTACAGCACCTACACAAATCAAGACTCATAATGCTGTACAGTTTTCTCAGGACTGCAAAGTGGCAGAAGTTAGTCACTAGGACATCATTATTACTGATGCCTATTGGTTAGGGTTGGCATAAACCTTCAGTCACTTGGTGAATCAGTCCCTAGCAATTAGGACATGTAATATCATCATTATTCCACTTTATGCAACCATCGCTGTGATGGTAGCCATAAGAACCTCTGAAACATTGGTAAACTTCTACCACACCACATGGTGCTACAACCCAGAAGACAACCATCTTCAGACTGACTGGCATGAAAACCTCAAATCCACCCATCATGCTCAATTGCTATGTGTAGGAAGTTACAAAGAGACGAATACGTTTGGGGATTGCGTGTTTTTATTCAATTCATTTGCAATCGAAAACAGTAAGGTCAGGATATATAAAACAATAATTTTGCCTGTCATCTTACATGGCTGTGAAACTTGGTCTCTTACCTTGAAGGAAGAATGTAGATTACAAGTATTTGAAAACATGGTGCTCAGGAAGACATCTGGACCTGTGACTGATTAAATAAGTGGTGACTAGAATATTACAAAATGAGCTGCATGAATTGTACAGGTCACCTAGCATAATGAGGATAGCAAAATCTAAAAAGTTCCGATGGGTTGGGCATGCTCGCATGGGTACATACAGAATGGTGGTGGTAAATCCTGGAAAACGACCACTGTGTAGACCAAGAAGGAGATCGGAGGGAGGTGGGCTGTGAGGATGGTAAATGGATGGAGTAATTAAGAAGTTACAAGGTATGGGTTCAGAGTGTCACCTATGGAATAACATCCATATCTAATTTCATTAACTCCTAGGGAGGTGGTTACACACACACACACACACATATATATATATATATATTAAATGCAGACATATGCAAATTTTAAGGTTGACTTGAGTTAGGTACGCATCTTGATGTTGAACAAATGGCCATTTTCAACCTATCTATTGTATGGTGTTTTGGTGTCAGTAATCACTAAAATTATGTGCACATTAAAATAAGTAAATAACGCGATTCGTGCTATGACTTATGGAATACATCTGGAATGACGTGAAGACTAGCAAAGTTTTGCAGTCTGTATCCATTGAACTGGGGTTACACATTCGTTCACCTTTCTTAATATTATAAACTGGGAGTTAAAAGTTAATAAGAGACGTCCCCCTCTCCCTCCAATCAATAAATTATCAAGCACTCAACTGAGAAATATTCTGAAACCCTTGAACCACTTCAGTCACTACAAAATTTGAACTCATAGGTTATATTCATGTATAGGCTCTTTCCATCTGTAAATTATGTATGTGTAATAACATTTGTATACTAAATTTCCCTGACTAGAAATTTTTCATTTTAGAAAATAAAAACATGGACATGGATCCGGTGTGGCTTATGTTGGTTACATGTGTATTAAAGACTGATGCCGAGTTAAAATGGAAGATGATACGCCTATCATATATGGATTAGAATTTCAGGCCAGTAGTTTAACATTTAGAAGTAAATATTAATGTAACTTGCTGTAATAAAGTTACAAAGTACTGTGTTATGTAACAATCAAGGAGATTAGACACAAAGGTTATGGTTCGGAGTTGAGGCTAGGGAACTGACATTTTTATGAGGGTCCACATTCGTAGAGTTGAAGGTACCACGAACCTCGATAAGGAACGTATTCTATTACGCACTGATTATGTCCGTGTTAAATCCTGAAACGTCTGACTATACGCAGATTTATTTCAGATCATAAAAATTAAATTGAAAAACGTTTCTCCACGTTACTACAATGAGAGTCAATTTCCTGAATTTATAAATTGAATCTTTCGCTGCGACTGAAGTTGATGAGATCTTCGGATTACAAGCCTAGAATCTTTTATCAATCCATGAATTTGATTTGCTCTCAATTTAATTATGAATGCAATTCTAGTTTATTACTGTCATTACCAAACATTTTAAATTTAACATTTTCAAAGATCTTTTTACCTACCTTAATATAATGATTTTGTCATGAAGTCTGGTGATGTGATTTGTTTGTATACTTAATACATATTTTTAATTAGTTCAACTTTAAACTCATTATACAGATTAATTAAGTATATACAGTTCAAATGATGATCATTATTTTGTCTTTTGTGGTGTTTTTCTGAGCCTTATTTTATAATTTAAATATTTTTGTTTATTTCACAAGGCCAGACGGTCATTAGGTGTGATTTTAGTTTGCCATAGAAAGCTGCCATTGTTTACAAAGGATTGGCTGGTTCTTGAATTTTGCTGTTACAGTCTCTCTGTGCTGCATATCTAATGCAGTTGACAGTGTGTAATTTAATAATCAGTCACTTTTTAAATTTTGTTATTAATATATATAATGTTTGTGTGCAGGCTAGGGCATTAGCATCACAGTTGGCAGAATCAGATGCTGTTCGATTTCTGGTTGGCACACAATCACTGAAACTAAGTCATAATCAGGTGCATGTTGTGGAACTGAATGAGGAGACAGGTGGATTATCAACACATGTATTCAAACATGGTGCAGGAGAGGTGTGGACTCTTGCTGCTTCACCTAGTAATGCAACTCTTATTGCAACATGTTACAATACACTCACAGGTATTACTGTGATAACATGACTGACTTATCAGAAATATTACTTAATGCTGTTACATTATTTATAATTGTCACAAAATTTATTTTAAGAAATTTAAATATCTACATCTACAAAGTTCATAAACCTTCTACACACAGAAGGTGAATTTCTTTGAGTTTCTCACAAATATCAGATCATGTCATTAATCTTTTTTGAAAAACAATATTTCACAATTCAGTATGGAGGATTCTGCCACGAAGTAGTCACTTATCCAGATGAAAATAATTTTGGTTAAGAATCATGGGGAGTGATTGCCAGAATTGATACTTTTATAATTAAAGAGAAGAAGCTCTGGCTCATGCCATCTTATAATAATTGGCAGTACGTGTATGAAATACTATTTTACTGACATTCTGTTTAAGGATATTAATTAAAAGTTTTATACTCAGTTGATTTATATACATATATATATATATATATATATGATATATGTGTTGTTTAGCTGAGAATACATGCTGTATGCAATCAGCGATATGGAGGCTTCCTTTACAAGTAGATGGATCACTAGATGAAGTGTCAGAATGTGAAGGAATGAATGACCTAACATCTTTGGAACTAGTCTGCCAATTAGATACTGAGTCACATGGCCAGGATGTGAAAGTGACATGTTTTCATCCAAGTGATGGATCAAAAGCTGCATCTGTTGTGGATAATAAATTCATAATATGGGACCTGAACCTGGGAGACATTGCCAAGGTAACAGTTGCATGTGTGGGTATTAAACAGGCAGAGACAGTGGGTGCATTTATTTGAACTTAGAATTTAAATTTTAAATGAACCAAAAAAGGTCATAAACAATTCAGTTTTTAATGTTCATACATTCCCAGGAGAAAGTCATAAAAAATAAAAAGAAATATTGAGAAGAGCTGATGTGTCTTGGGAATTTTATGTAAATTAAATTGTATATTCCATTTTGAAACACTGAATTATTACTCTTATCTTAAATGTATCATTATTACCATTGTATCTTTTATTCATTAGTCAAACTTTATACAAACTACTCAGTACAACTGTATTTATTTATTCATTTGGCATAATTATATGATGTATTTACAGAAGTATTACTTGTAATTGTTTATTATATCATCAGATGAAAACAATTAGGGCTGTGTGAATATTTTAAATGAATAAAAATAGTCGTATCAGGGTGTTTGTATTTGGTGACAAGCGACCCACTGACCATGGTTTTCAAGCTCATAATTATGTATGTTTTTCCATTGCCCCAAAGTTTCATCTCCCCCAGGACTAAACATTGCCTTCAGCACTTTGTCTTCTCAAACACCCTCAGTATGTTTATAATTCACATAATACTTTGATAAACGGTTTGTTTAAGTTTATGTGAGAGGAGTTTTAATTTATATCTGTATTGAATTTGTTCTGTTGCAGGTGGTACAATCTGGAGTACTTGAAGGAAAGGGTCAACCTCGCTTCACAACTGGTAAATGGAATCCTCACCATGGATGTTCACAGTTTGTAACAGCCAATGATGGGCATGTTAGAAGTTGGGACCTACGGGTATCCCCAGTTCGACCGGCTTGGACAGTTGAGAATGCTCATTGCCAGTTGGTCAGGTGATAATAAGTTAATACCTTTATGTACCTTGGATGTATATTGTCATGTGATGGGGAAAAAATATGTAGATGCAAAAACATAAATTTTTAAAAATTACTTGTTTAATAAACAGCGGTTTTAAAGAAGCATCAACTTAGAAAAATACAAGAATAAGAATTTAAAATATATGAACTCTTTCAGCATTGCTGTAGTATAATGAAACGTGGTTAGTGGAAACTAAAGGTAAATAATGAATCAGAACTGCAGAAATTAAATGGTAAGTTGACTGCAAAATACACTTAAAAATATTATAACAAAAACCAGGATATTTGGGAAAAGTTTATGACTGAACCAGTATTAACAAAAATAAAGCCTAAAGAATAAATGGGTTATCATTGGTGTTTATGCCTTTATAGCACCTGACGTAGCTGGTAGCCAAGGAAGAATGTATTAGATCAAAAGATAGCATTTAAAAACAAAGTTGGACAACAAAGACTAGAATTGATCAATAAACAGTCCAACTCCTTATTCCTTTCTTGAGTTATACACTTTTATTTTTCCATGGCATGGTACGCAGTTGAGAATGTTGTGTTGCTAGGAACACATGACAATCGTAGACTACCACATGCGGATTATAGGTACAGTACACTGTTTATTAGCAACACCTATAAGAACCAATGCTCATATCATGGAAACAGAGAAATGTTCTAGAAAACGCCATTGTTCTTAAAATACTTGCTAATTGAAATGACATTTAATGATAATGAACTTGACTGAAAATATGTAACAGTGTTGTAGACTGTGCTGTTACATATATATTTATCAAAATTATATTAATTAAATAGGACTGTACCCATTTAAAGTTTGATATATTTGTTATTTATTATTTCTTGTTATATTGTAACTTTATTTTGTTCTGATTTTCATTATTTGGCATGTGTGTGGAATTATAGGACTATTATCTTCAGTGGTGCGTGCATCTGATTTCTACCAAATCTCTCACAACTCAACAGTCTAGATGTTAATTTCATTGTGCAGTTGATCTTTATCAGAAAGGAATAGGGGATTTACCCCTGTACTACAGGGCTGTTGGCTGAGCTTTAACTCTAGGGTTTAACAGTTTATCAGTCTACTTTTTTGTTTGGTACCATCGGGTCGGAGCCGACCCCTGGTGACATTATGAACAAGTTCCCTCTGATAGGGACCTGTTCATAGGTTGCCTCGGCAAATGATCCAGAAGTGGTTTGCTGTTGCCTTCTTCTGTGTGTAAATGATGATGAAAATGGAGTAATTGTTGGGATGCCATGGAGAAACTGGGGAAGCCTGGAGGAAAACTCCATGATACCTGGACCACGGCCTTGCCCAACACAAGTTGTAAATCCGGGCACCACCGGGAATCGAACCCAGGACCTCTGGATTACAAGCCTAGCGTTCTGACCGCTACACCACCGTGGCGGTCATCAGTATACTACTACAGTGCAAAGCAGGTGGACTGAACATAAGCTGTGATGCACAGTCAATAAGGATAATCCTCTTGTTTCAGTTATCTTAAGTGCAGGACCAAGTGGAATAAAAATTATATTATAAGCTGAGTTGATTACAGTTCCAGGGAGTAAGGTACTCTTTTCTCAGAGGGAAGGTGTCTGGCATATGTATCATCTAGTGCCAAGATTATGAATATGTGGTGCTTTCCTTCCATGCCCCCTATATGTCATCATTGCATGGTATTTATGTATTGGGACACCTTACTTTTCAATGTTATATTATGCCTACAATACCAATATATGTGTCTACTTTTACCATTAATAGAATGACAACAAGTGAAAGTGGTCACTTATAATTATGCAGTACTTGGAATGGTTATAATATTGGAGCACTTTTATGATGTGCTGTTAATACTTAGTTTCAAAGAGCTATTAAACTCATTATAATATATGACTTCCTATATAGGGACCTGGATTTTAACCCAAATAAGCAGTACTACATGGCAACATGTGGAGATGATGGTTACAGCCGCTTCTGGGATGTGCGAAATCCATCAGAACCTGCTGTTGCCAGGGCTGATCATTCTCACTGGTAAGCTAGAGCAGCTGTGAAGACACTTTTTTGTTTTAAAACAATGAGGGTATTTGTCATTTGTCTCATAAGTCATTGGACAGTAGGTTTAGTTTCCATGTGGTTTATACAGCAGTAACAATACCAAAGGTTAATAAAAGAAGTCCATTTTTGCTACAGGCAAATTTGTTGCAAGGCAGAATAATGAATGAAGTATCAATAGAACATTGCAGTTATTTGAATTATATGACACATAATGCATTAAATAACATGGAGTAATAGGTAGCCCTCCTGGTTTGTGTTTGGCTTGTTTCAGGCTCAAATCTCAGCTTACAGACTAGCTATTTTTGTGGTTTGTGAAAATTTTATGGTTTTCCTCAGTACCTCCAAGTGGGCATATTGCCTTAACTGCTTTCTTGCGTGTCCTTCCTAATTCATATTTCATAATAATTTGATATATAATGTATGTACTTCATACAGCATTGTTAAATAAATGAAGACATGCTCATACAGTGCTCACTATAACTTATTTTTCTCTGGTTTTGTTGAACATGGTAATTCATAACTGTCACAGTTCTTTACCTTGTTTATTTTTTGGAGCATACATGGCATTTCATGCAGGTCATAGTTACTAATTTCAATTAAAGTTTTAAATTATGAATAGTAATGTATTCTTTTTTATATTATTGTTGTCCTGCTTGCTAAACATAATAGAGCAGAGCTTCAAACACAATAGGTGTAGTATGCTGCAAGATATTTTGAGAGCTTTGGTTTGTGCAGAGGCAGTAATTAATCAGTTATTTGGGCAAGTTATGAATTTCTTCATGCTAGAGCAAATCTGGCACAGGATGTGGTCCTGTGACAGAAGTTTATAGTGACGAACCTTCAGATTCCATAATAATGAATTACGTGAACAATAGGTAACTGTCAATTGGTCAAAAACTATCCTGTTACAGAAAGCTAGTTAAGTTGTAATCTCTAGTTCTTGCAAGTGTATAGGTCCTTTCAAGCTTCATTTCTTTTTTAACATTTTTCTTAATTTGCAGAATTTTGATAACATTTCAGTCTTAATTATAATTACAATGTACTTTGAGGAACTGACATAACTGAAATATGGTTTTCAGGGTATGGAGTATTCGTTACAACCATTTTCATGATCAGTTAGTACTGACTTCTAGTAGCGATTCACAGGTGATCCTCACTAGTGTTGCATCAATTTCATCAGAACCAATTTCTCATATGGTGGATGATGACCTTAACCAAGGAGACACTTTACCTGATACACCAAAAGAAAAGTAAGTATCTTTTACAAATTAGAATGAGGGTTTGAATTAGACACTAAACCATTTCTTGTGGTAATTAAATGTAACTAATTTCATGGAGCAGAGTTCTTGAAAAGCTCATGGTACACTCAGCTAGTCAAGAAATTCCCCACCTTTTATGGAACCAAAAGGTATGTTTCTGTGTTTACAAGAGCCTGCCACCAGTGTGTATCCTTAATCAGATGAATCCAATTCACACCTTCCCAGCCTGTTTCCATAAGATGAATAATAATATTATCCTTTCATCCATTCCTACATCCTGTGATTGTTCTCTTCCCTTTAATAAAAATTGTTACCTATTTCTTATTTCACTGATGCATGCTGCATGTCGTGCTAGTGCCTCACATTGTTCTCAGTCACACCAAGTCTTGTAGAAGTTGCGCGATTGTTCATTCTTTCTGTCTCAAGCACCGCCATATTTTTAGGCATGTTTGCAACTAGAAAAAGTTGTAAAAGTATCCCTACTAGCTTTGAAGTGTCCGTCTATCTGTACCTTCATCTTTGTGTAACAACTTAAGAACATTTTAATGAATTTTCATGAAATGTTATATTGGAGGATTCAGTAAAATTTGTTGGCTTATTCTTATTCTTGTTTTAAATTAGACAACAGAAGACACTTTATGTTAAAACCTACATACATTTCTGTTGGAAAAAGTGACTAAATTGAGAATACACAACCAGTCATGCAACCATGCGGCAGAATCTCCAATGGAAATCCTCTGTGATGTCATCATCAAGCCAACCAGTGTTCCTACCTATTGTCCCTGGACAACTCTGATGTCACCAGTGCCATTCACAGAGGCCAAATTGTTGTGAATGCACCAGAATTGTTATGCTATGCATACATTTCTTAACTTGTTAGATTTCTTAGTCCTTTGGTAATTTGACACTTATTCGTTCACTGTCTTTTCATGGAATCTCTTATTTTTGCACACCAATGAACTATGAAAATGTTCCACAAAAATAATGTTGACCCAATGAGCACTGTCAGCACAACACACCCGGCAAGGGAAAATATTTAAATTCATTTGGCACACATACTTAGATGGATACTATCTGAAAGATCACACAGGAAGGCTTGGTTATGAGATGTACATGAATATCCTAGCTTAATTATTAAACAAAAATCATTTCCTTATAGTCAGTCTCTTTGAATGTGATCTTACCCACTAAAGGTTAGTGATAAAATGAACACATTTTTACAGAATCAGCATGGTTATTTTATTGTCAGATCTTGAATATTCTACTTCATTCTGTTGTATTTATTTTTTGCTGCAGGTTGGTGGATGGTGTATTGGCAACATATGATGAACATGAAGATTCTGTTTACAGTGTTGAATGGTCTTCAGCTGACCCATGGACTTTTGCATCTCTCAGTTATGATGGTCGATTAGTGATCAACAAGGTTCCACGTGCTGATAAATATATGATCCTTTTGTAAGATTTGTGTTTATCAAGCATTTTTATCTAAGGATCAATAAAAACAGTCACATTGAGAAACAGGCTGAATCCTGTGGATGTTTCTCTAAAGGGAAATGAAAGCATGAAAAAAATTGTTTCCTGAAATTGATTGTCCTTATTTTTAACCCAGTTACCTAACATAAAAAATGGTATGCTTATGAGGTCAATATCCATATGTGTGTGTCCTGCATTGAGTTTTGAACCAGTTGACCTGTTTTAATGAAGTTTGGCATGGACATCACCCCAACCTCATACTTTATTCAGTTCTAAAGGGCTTTGATGATGGTGAATTACACGTAAAATTATTTGCTACCTGGACTTTTTTCATTCTCTTTGTTTAAAAGAAAAACCACAACATTTTGGAAACTGACTGTTTTCGTCTTCAGGCAAGAGGGAAGGCATCTACTCAGTTGGGTCCGTCAGAAAGAGCTAGTCTCTATCACTGATTTAGTGCCTTCCCTCTTGCCTAAAGACAGAAACAGAGCCATTTTCCTAAACATTGTGGTTAAAATGGTGAAAGTGATTCACAACGTAATATCAATCGAAAATACTAATGCTCTATTCATATATCTATTGAAATTCAGTGGAATACAAAGTACCTTGTTTGCTTTCAAATCAACTGCACAAAATTCTGCCGCTATGCAGCGACATTACGTCACTGAACGTCAAGGAACACTTTCTGAAATATTTTGTACAGAGTATAAAATACGTAACGCATTGGTTTATATCGATGAAGGTAATCCGTGGTTGATATCTTTCGTGTTACAATCTTTGTATTCGCAGGGCCTGGTGTGGTATTTTGCTGTAAAGTGAAGAATAGTGTTTTTTTGGTGGTGAGATTTAGAGGCTAGGAGTTCGAGGCAAGTATATTAGTGTGTTTAATTATGTAATTAAGATGTTAGTTAATTTGTTGTAACATTAATGTACCGTTATGATGTCGAATACGTTCATGTTTGTACGTGACGACGCATGTAGGCCATAAGAATTTTGTTCCGGAAAAATATTGCAACCTTTAGGGGATGTTAATTTATTTCGGTAAATAGTAATAATTATAACATTACAATTGTCCAGATCCAGATTTTGAACAAGTATCGCCAAGTTACGGTTTTATTTTGATTTATCTTAAAAAAGCTATTTAAATCTGGGTAGTCAGTATGGGTTTCATATGCGAGACAGAACAACTATATCAGACGCCCAGATCGGGACAGAGTTGGCCCCAGAAACGGAGTGTTTTAAGTGTTTAACATGGCCGATAGCCTGATAGGATTTTATTAATTCGGTTCACCGTGGAAGTTTTAGATCATACAGTAGAACGGCAGTGTTGCATAGTTTTTCCAAGTTAATTAAGTGGCGGAAGTAATTATTTTGTGGACCATGATGTTGAAGGTTTGCAAATATTTAATCGTAAGTAATTAAATTTTTCAGTTTTATAATAAAGACTCTTCACTAATGCATTCTAGATGGCTGAAAAATCTGTGCAAAAGATACCCAAGCCCCAGTTGAGAGGTTTACTAGCTTCTTCTTTGAAGTTTCATCTTCCTGCAGCAATTGCTGTTAGTGCTGTTACTACAGTTTTATTCAAGATTTTTTGGGTGGATAGAAGGAGAGCTAGATATGCAGAATTTTACAAGTAAGTAAAATATTTATACATATTTTACATATTGCCTGTAGAAATATATTGCATGAAATATTGCACTTTTAACATTCTGAATGGAAATTACATGTATATCTTCATCTCAGGTGACTTAATAATGTACCTAATATGTATTTTAAACTGATTTGTGCTTATACTTCATTCCGTTTAATGTAATATGTTGTGTTTGCATTTTTCAGGAATTATGATGCTGAGAAGGATTTTGAAAGGATGAGAAAAGCTGGTGTTTTTAAGAGTTGTTAACCTAGAGAACCACATACTTCTGTTATAGTCATACACACTTATAATTGCATTACATTCTGGAGGTTTGCAAAGTCATATTACTAGCAGTTTGTGTTCTTTCCTTTTCTTTTACAGATACACATGACTTGATTAAATAACAAGTTTGTTGTCTGTCTTTGGCCAAATAAATACACAACCAATGGCAAAACTGGATAATATTAGATATTTGTTTATGTTATTTGTGAACGGATTTAAATAAATAAAGGCAATTTAAGGCGTGTGTAGTAAGAATGTTATTATGTAATACCAACATGCTGTGAGTTTGAGAACTCAAATCATTTACTTTGTTTTTTTTGTTATGTTTGTGCAAAGGGTCCTTGGAGGGGGGGTCTTGTGACGTCATAGGAGTCACGGCCAATGAGTTAATACTGCCTGTGCAGTTTTAATAATTTTTTAAAATGTGTAATTGAATTGATTTCTTTGCGTGTGTATAGAAAGGGGGAAGATTTATGATGAGTCCTGACCCGTTAATTAAGTCATTAAGTGAGAAGTGCGTAAGGTACCGGTTTCTTAAACATGTACGAAATTCTGACACATTTCAGTGAGGTAAAGTGGAGAAAATTTAAAATACTGCGAGATGGTGCTGCCAGGAATATATCACAGGACTTTGACATTTTATGCAATCAGGAAATATAATTTTCCAGGTTTTCTTTTTGTTTTCTGGAGTCCAATGAAATAATAGTATATGTGGTTTCCACCAATAGAAATTTTGTGTTCTCTTATTTCAACCTACGGTGTGGCGGGAAGGGTACCCATAATTCCACTGATTGATTTGCGCATGTCAGTTCCGAGCATTGCAAATGGCGGCTCTTGTTATTGTTCCATGGCGTTTATGACTTCGTCCAAATTATGCCCGCTTTTTCTTCGTTCATAGGTAAGATGTGCTAAGTTGTGAAAGAATTCAACGCAATGGATGTATTTTACTTTTATTTTGACTGACGCAAGGTAGGTATCGTGTTTTTTAACACCGTATATGGTAGTCTGTAATTGGGGTAAGGAAAGATTTTCCATCTTCATGGGATCGGTTTTCGAATCTAGGATGAATAAATTAGACATGAATTTAGATTTTAGCCATGCTTGGAAAGGACATTAGGGTACCTAAGGTGTTGTGTGCTAATTTTGGGTGTATTCAGTAATAATATTAGCCATGTAAATAATATGTTTAACATTTTTGACGGAAGTTTCGGAGCATGCTGCAGAAGCGGATTTTCCACTCCCCCATGTCACAAAATGGAGGTCGGATTCCCCTTGAACGCTTGTTCGCAAACATTAAGCGGTCGTACCCTTCAAAACTGTCAAAGTTATTATGTGTGTTGTTGTGTTGCCCTTTTAAATGTTTTATTCTGAACAATATGCAGAATACGTGCAAAAGTGATATATTGAACATATAAATGTACACGCAGAACCCGTCGTGGGTTTCGTTTGATCCACAACATTAGGGAGGTTAAAGGATTTATTGGAATTATCATAAGGCTTATTGGAAGGTTTGCATTAATATTGTTTGTTTTTGGTAACGGATATATAAGGACAGTTCACCCAGTTATTCGTTTAATTATGAATTTGAAACAAATTTCTTAAGTGCGAGTGTAATGTCAGTTTGACACTGTCGATTTTGCCGTAGCTCTTGGTTTTATACAAGAGGATGTTGGTTTAAATAGTTAACCGACCCAGCAGATTGTATTTTGAAAGTATCGTTACAGGATTACCAATATTTTACGTTTTTAGCTTTATTTTAATACTATAAGCGTATACATTGGCCCGATACCAGTTATATTTCAGTTATTATTGTATCACGTATCTGTGACTATTATGCAGTTTGGAAGCGACTTTGTGGAAATGTAAGTTTTGCAGAGTTACATATTGTTTGAGGATATTGGAGACGATATATTGTTAGTACTAATGTGTCTGGTATTGTGTCTGCATTGTTGTTGCAATGACTTTGGAAGAACATTTTTAGGACATGAGAAAAATAGTAATTTCTTAGTATTCACTAGTGTTTAGAGGCACTTTGTACGAGAGTACTAATGGATGTGTGTTTTGTTTATTGTGTTCTATAAATTGAAGTTTTCCAGTGTATAGAATGTTGAGGAATAATGGTTTTTCATTTTAAGTTCTTGATTGACTGTGGTGTAAGATAATTTAGTGAAAAGTGATGTACAGGTATCATATTTAGCAGAAATTGCATTTATTTCAAGAACCATATCTTCAGGGCCCAACAAATGTGTTTGTATGCTAATCCGTGAAGAGTGAAAAATTCTGGCTTGTACGTTATGCATGTTGTGTATTTTCAGTTGAAATGTTTTACTCTTGATGGATCACATGTCTGTGTGATTGGGAATTCAACTTCTGTTTGCTTACCTCCCATTGCCTCTTATAAAGCGACCGGTATGTTAGGTGTGTGTGCGCACACAAAATTTCTGCCATAATAGTGACATGTTATTAAGTGCAGTAACAGAATGAGACATATTTTATATATAAAAGTAAGTTTACATTTATTATACATTTTGATGTAACATCATGTTTTGAAGGACTCCCTGTTAGCATTCTTCCACTGGAGCACAGGTTTTCCATCACTGGTTATTGCATATCTGCCTGAATTGTCTAAACTTCATTTCAAATTTGATTTGTTAGCTCAAATTATGTAGCACTGCAGTGATACTGTCTTCATTATAATTATGAACGAACTTGGTTCTAGCAAGATTTGGTGAAAGTTCATTCGGTAAAGCATTAATGGATGTTGTCAGAATGAGCATGTGCCATAGTGAATTTTTTCCGTGGGAGTATCAAAAGCAAAGTTTACATTCAATTGTACCTGGAATATTGCCAAACTAAAGGGTTGAATTTGACATGCTATGAAGAGCAATGGAAAATCTGCACCGAAGAGTGGATGAATGTTTGCAAGGCCATCTTCAAGGCATTTTAAAAAAGTGAAATGTTACACGAAAATGCTTGTATGTATAATTGACATTTGGAACTCACTTTTATTCTATAAAGTATTTTGTGTTATATTACTTTAAAATGTGTCAGATTATAATGGACCACAAAAAATCTAATAATTTGTTTATAATTGAAATTTCATTAGAAAACTAGTTACTGGTATGCTTATTCCTTCAGTACTTTCGTCCCATCATACATGTATGTCAGATTCATTATGTAGTTTATTCAATTTTACTTGCATGTATTTTCTGTTGTCAAGTGAAATATTTAGATGTGACTGACATTTTTGTCATTTGAAAGTAGGTTTATACTGGTTGATCCCCTATCATCTTTAAAGCAAAAACATTTTCATTAGTGTAGTGTAGTGTAGTGAAAAAAACACATAAACATCTTTATAGTTCCTTTATAATTGAAATTTGATTAGTAGAACTGGTTACTGATTCTTTTACAGCTTTTCTATTCTAGTCAATCATGAAATATTTTGTTATTCAAGTTACATATATTGCAGTTTATTATTTAATGGCAGCATAGACTTAAAGTCATCACTTATTACAGCAGTTGGGCTAAATGTTTCATTAGTTTGTTTTACTTTAACTTTTTTTCAAACAATAGATTGTGTTAGTTTCAGTTTGTGAACTTTGTACAAAATTTGTGTTCATTTTGCTTCATACCATATGTAAATGAAATTAGTAATTATCATCATTGTTGATTCCATCATACTAGATAAACTATTGCAGAAATTGTTTGCAGACAATATGCAGTAGAACAAAACATATTACAGATCACCTTACTAATTTAAATAAGAGGGTTAAGGCAGAACTCATAAGGTCTATATTCATATTTATTGCAAATGCTTAACAGTTGAACAAACCTTTTTTTTTAATCTTATATTTAGGTAATGTAAGTTTATAATCCAATAATATGCAGTGTTGCTCTTGGGTTATAAAGCTGGGCCCATTTTTCAAGATATACTACAATAAGTTTTTCTGTTAATAAAATCTTCTTGGGCCAGCAGCCAAGTCACTTCCAACTGACATGGCTGTTGGCCTGAGTTTTAAGTTTTTATGTTGTTTGCAGTTACAGATATGTTACAGATTGTTATAAGCTTTATTATTGTTATTGGCACCAGTTTTATTTTTGGGAATAATTTATTAACTGATCTGTAGATTAAGTTTCTCAGATATTACCTCAAAGTCTTGCATTGTTGCTATATTTTAAATTGTTGATTCATAAACCCTATTCCATACATAATTTGTTAGAATGTTTATAATGTATCTTCAGACAGAATTTCATAATCCTTGCTCTATTGGTTCATCGTTTATTGGTAATTGAACTGAGACCTAATTTAAAACTTTGCACTGCTGCCATGTTATTGTTTTATATTCTACAAAATTTACCTTTACAGAAGTGTGTTTTTAAGATCTATTACCATTTATCATTTCAGGACCAAAATTAAGTAACATACAAACAGTGTGGTGTTGTGCCAAAGCCACATATTTTCTGTAAAGAAGCAAAGTAAGCTAAAAATGCCAGTAGTTCAATATTTAAGAGAGAATTGATATTGAATAACCAAGAAATGTTTAATTGTTCTGTAGAATATGGTGTTTGGAAAATCCAAAGAGAATTTTGAAGAAATGGAATTTAATGGTTTAAATTATGCATGTATGCTGATGCAATTGATTTATTAAGCAGGAATATAAATATATTTGAACCTGAGGAAGAGGAAGTAACAAGAGAATGAAGAAAATTACATATTGAGGAGCTTTATAATTTGTATTGTTTACTGGATGAATAAATTGAGAATGAGATTGGTAGGACATGGATGAGTGAGAATTGCGTAAAGAATTTTGGTCTGTAAGTCTGAAGGGAAGAGACAGAGAAGATGGGAGGAGGATGATAAAACTAATATTAGAGGAAATAGATTGATTCAAATGGCTAAGGTTATAGTCAGTTGGTGAATACCATAATGAGGCAGAGTCATGTTGTGTACATGGTAATGAACCTTTTGTTTCCACAGAAGACAGAATTTCTTGATAGGCTAAGTGACTGCCAGGTTTGTGCTAAGGGCTCTGGTCTGTGGAGTGAGTTACAGAACAATGACTTTCACTATCCCTATATATGAATGTATGTGTATGTGTGGAGGGGGGGATTTATCTTATGAGAAATTTGAAATCTGAAGTGTAAAGAAAAACAATAATTTGTGGGCTTCAGAAGACAAAATCTCTTGCATATTTTATGAAATCACAACAGTCACTAAGATATTGTTAGTGAATGTGTTTGAATAGTGATCTACAAGTGAACACTGAGCTCATTAATTGTACATTCATGCCTTCTCCCCAAAATACAGGACAAAATCATAATGTAGAGACAGCTAATGAATTATGAAGATGACTGTCTTCTGGGATGTGTAGTCTGGTAGAAGTTTGCATGTGAACCGTAGGATGAAAGTATTTAGGAGGATGTTATTTTTAGCCTAAATTTTATTATAACAATTTTACATAATATTTGTATGGCATTCTGTTTTTGCTGACAGAACTTGTGATATGGTGTCTGAAAGTCTTAATATAATCAAGTCTGACCATATGAAATTGCATGATTTTTACTCTTTATTTTATTTTCACAGTTACTTTTCCATTTAGTTTTTGTGTTTATGAGAAAGAAGCTTTCATTTTAACGCCATCATTGAGAGGAATCTGAAAACACTGTAAAACAGTTGTTTGCTGCTTTACATTATGCGTGGTTATCAAACTGTTAGTAGTGTTTGTAAATGTTCAGATATCGCTTTTCTTAAGATTCTGTTCAAATATTTTTCTTTCAAATGTTTCATATATTGGCCAGAAACTAATAAAATACTTAATTTATTCAGTATTTCACTTTACATTGCATTGTATCTCATAACATTCAAAATGGAATATTGGAAGAGGTGTACTTGGCTTTCTGTTTTTAATCCAGTAAGTTCTTCTGTTCATGTTCTTCCTCCTCCTCTTGTCAGAGATCTAAATTGACAGATTTCTCCAATTATTCTGTTAACCAGAACTCAACATAGTTTATCTATATAATACACAAATTTTAGTATCTTTGTTGGTTGCTCGTCATCTATTCTGATGATGTTGGACCCTATAAGATAATATATATGAATGTGTATGTTAATGATGTTAAGGGATTTTGAGCCTTGTGGGATAATATTTATGACTGTTATCATGTATCAATGGCCTACCTACATGTACTTCTGTACAGTTATAACCTCATTACAAGATCATATTTGATACTGCTCTACATCAAGTCATATTAGATTGTTTCATTGAGCAAAATAAATAATGATTTTAATTTCTTTTTGTTATAGAACATTATTTAATTTTTATCTTCTGTTTTGCGGAAACAGTGCTTCACTTATCCACAGCCTATTATGTACATGTACTTCTGTGCAATGCAGCAGAACAGATTTTTACATGTTAAAGCTTTGTAGATTTAATTAAAGGTAAATAATTTTAATTTTTGTATGCTGTTTTGTTACACTCTTCAATAAAAATATGATTTTAAGTAAGATTTTCCCATTGTTTCTGATAGACAATTTTCTGGTTTTTACATTTTAATGTACATGATTTTTATGTCCATGAAGGATCAGTGCCCTAATGTTTTATAAAATATTATAATGTAGAACAACAACAAAATCAGTGTCTTGCTGCTGTAGTTTGAGGAGTGTATTATTACTGGCATTAGAAATAAGCATATTGCTTGGTATGACCAAGATAATGTACACACTTGAGAATGCGCTTGTTGAAGTTATCCGTTTTTGCAAGAAAATTTTTGTTTGGTAATGCAATCGTATAATATGAATATGACATTTCCATATTGGATGCGTATTTGCCTATTGGGCAGAATGAACAGAATTTTCTTTTCAGTAATTACTGCTCAACTTGAAAATATGTCAGTATGCAGTCTTCAGGTCCAAATGGTTAATAGAAATTACTGTGATAAATCTTTCTGCTTCTCCACAACATTTGTATTTGTTATGTGATTTTAAACAGGGACAAGTTGGTCCACTCCATATGACCTTGAGAAATATTGAATGATGTGTATATTAAAGAACTTACAATGTAAGTAGGTGTTAATATAATTAAAAAGTTTGAGCCCGAAGAAATGTGTACACATTGCATTTTCTGAAGGATTTACATAACAAGGTACTTCATGATTGTACAGTTAGTACTATTAGGACTGAAATAAGGGAGTTGAAAATGAGTTTGTTACAAAACTGCATACAGAATTCTGGAAAAGCAGCCAGATGATTGAACAAAGTGTCTGAAAAATTGAGTTCAGGGTATAGAAGTAGCTCAGGATCATGTGCAAAGATGACCTTTGGTATTAATGGTGTTCAGTCTTTGCATTTTATTACTGAGTAAATAGTTTTTATGAATTTAATTCATATTCCTTGCCAGAGGATAAATTGTAGAAAGTGTGAAGTTTATTTCACTACAGGCTTTACTTCATAAGAGCCATAATTTAAGGGAAGAAACTTTGAGTTTGAATTAGCAGAATTGGTTTATTTTGTGATGGCTGTGACGTGTAAAATAATTACTATTTCAGTTAGGTGTTATGAACATGGTTGGTAAACTTAATTTATACCTCCTTAGAGCAAAGTGATAATTTCCTTCTTTAAAATTGTTACCTCTGCATTTTTCCCATGGAATATACTTATCGGTTTTATTTTCTCAGAATAAGCATGCATTATTTCCGTAATAGGTATTGACCAACTGGCCATTGTAAGGGAGAAGTGTTTTGTTTTGTTGTATTTATAGACTGATCTGTTAAATGATATTTAGATCAACTTCAGCTTATAGCAGTTAACTAACTGGTTCCATGCACCGAACATTGTCCTGGTATAATAAATAGCATATATATTCCTTTCTCAGTCGTTCGACTCTCATCAAGTCATTGTAAACAAAGGTGGCTGGTAGTCTGATATAAAGTCTACAATCTGCAAGTCTAGACATATTTTGGAAGTGTACATACTGTAAATAAATTTTAGTCTGATATATATATATATAGCCTGTAGGCAGATACTTTGAGTAGTTGGCCCCAGACCTTTCCTTCCCTGTGAAATGACATCACAGTACCAGAATGTTAACTTCATGCTTGAATCTTTAGCTCTAGGCACTTTACATTGGGAAGTATATTTTGTTCTGTAGGTGCTTCCAAATATGGTCATTATCCATCCCCTATGCCAATGAAATTTTTGTTGCCAGTCATCTTAGTTTAAAGTAATAACAAAACATTTGGAACAGTAATAATTTCAAGAAATTTGGGTTGTTTCTGAATACCTGTCTTTGTTTCTGTCAAAGGGTGAATAAAATAATTTTCATCACGTGTAGCTTTGCTGTTGTAACCTTGTCAGTCCCTACTTGAAATCTAATGAAATGTATTTTTTCAAAAGAAATTGAAGGATCACATTTTATAAACAGCCAATGTAATACTCCATCAGAAATCCTATTCAATTCCATTTAAAATAACCAGTTTCAGTTTTATGTTTCATTTAGAGATTGAGTTGTGGCAGTTTAAAACATGGAATGGTTCTGTAAAATGTAATTTTTTGAAATTCAGATATGAATGAATTCAAAATTATTACACCTACTGGTCTAAAATTTGCATGATAACATCTCTTTGAAATGTTTTGTCTCACAAAATTTCTTTAAAATATGAGGGAGTTTTATTCATTATTATACTGTTTCTGTTTATTTGATAAGGAATGCCCCCCCTTGCAGTTAAAAAATGAACCACAAATAAATAGGAACACTTTGTAGGTCCTTTTATTGCTGTGCCATAGGATTGATTCCTGGTCAAGTTAATTTTTCTTTCTTTCATGCATCCACCATGTTATTTTATATTATACAAAGAATTGTTAAGCACAGTTTTGTATTACCTATTATAGAAAAGTATGATTTTAGGGTAGTCTCCAGTGATATAATGCCCATGCAAAATTTTGTCCAAATCTGTCCTTTGGTTCTTGAGTTAAATCATGCAGTCGGACATGACCAGCCCTATATCTGTTCATTTCATGCACATCATGCAAAGAACACATAACTAACAATCAGTCAGTTTCCTTGATTTAGTTAGTACTTCAAGTAGCCATTGCACTTCATAATGCCCAGTACCACCTACATATACACCAGGCTTTAAAAGGTGAAGTTGAGAACTAGGCACATGTTTTGGTGAGAGTGGATCAAAAGCTGCTTTCCTTAGCTTTGAAAATATTACCAACACAGCTAATGCTGATACCATTATTATCAGCAAACAGAAGGATGTTTCATAAAAAAAGTCCATGGCCTCTAGATACTTCCTCAGCATTTGCCCAAAGGGAGTGAGGAAAATCACATTAAACATGAGTGATGTCTGTGCTTAATTAGAAATGGTTTATGTCCAAAGTTACCAGAACTCACACATGTACATATTGCTGTGAAAAAGAATTTGCATTTCTGGATCAAGTGATAAACTCATACAGAAGGATCCACTAATAAAGAAATGCTTTTGTGTTGAACATGTAGGCTTGATCTGATATTCCAGCTTTTGAAGTAATTTTATGGTACCTTTTATTTTAAATAGGAGCCAGGACAGCTCAGTCAGTGTAGTGACTAGCTATGGGCTGGACGACTGGGGTTTGATCCCCGATGGGGGCAGAGAATTTGTCCTCTAGCCTCTGCGTCCAGACCGGCTCTGGGGCCCACCTAGCCTCCTATCCAATGGGTACCGGGATCCTTTCCCAGGGGTAAAGCGTGGCTGTGGCATGATGCTGACTGCTCACCCCCATCTAGTACCGAAGTCAAGAATGAGTAAGAGCTATACCTCCTCTCCCCCCAAGCGACCTACTTGGCATGTTGCGGACTGCTTTACTTTACTTTTTATTTTAAATTGTGAGGAAATTTAGTGAAGGTTTGCCAACTTTTGCAAATACTCATGGAAGATCATTTGCTGGTGAGTTTATTTCTCTAGAAGGTATGGCTGGGTGTGGTGATATGGAGTGCTTGCAGAAGCTCCTTGAATCTAGTACCTGTTGGATGGGTTGCCATTGCATTGAGTAAAAATCTTTGTTGGAGAGAGGGCTGGTGAATTGCTCCATAGGAGGGGTGCTTCTTGAGGGCTCTCACTTTAGCAGTGTAACTGCATAGTTAGATTTGTCAGTGGGTGGCAAGTTCAGGTTCATGTGATTCTGTGTACAGATTTTCCACTTTGCTTGTTCTGATGTATTCTTGGATGGATGTCACTGTTTTGAAAACTGATTGACTTCAGTAAGGAATTTTGTGTTTGATGTGTAGCTGCCCCCAGATATATTCTTGCAGACCAAAATAATAAACTTGTGGAGAGGAGATCAAAATTACTTTTTTAAATATTATGTTGTGCTTTCTGAATAATAATTTTCCACAACTTTTAGCCTATTATCTAATTTTAAAATCATATGATTGCTGTTTTGTTAAACTTTTTAATTGTTTTGTTGCAGCAGGATCCATAGTGCTTCATAATCGCTGGGTTGAGCTACCATTGGAGTGACTAACCAGTTGATAGGAGTGGAGATTTTTCCCACCCTGAGTGGGACTATGTGAGTCTGATCGGTATGTTAATTTTTTTAAACCTCACCTCACATTGTTCATTTAGGACCTAAAACTGTTTGTATTATAAGATGTAAGAATAAACAAAATTCCATGGGTAGTAAAAGTAGATAAAAACAAAAAGCTGTGGCTACTTTAAATCTAATTCGACAAGTGTTTGCTGTATTTTGACTATAATAATTTTGGGAGGAAGTGTGCCTTCAATTAAAATCTCATAATAAATTTATCTTGAAGTGAATTGTAGTGTGATTATTTTGTATGTGACTAGGTTGCTTGTAGTGTTCGTTGGGTTAAAATTACTTGGTGTTATATAATGAAACTTTTGGCATTATTGTTTCAGAGATGGCCGCAGACAGCGATGGTGATCTAATTGAGACAGTTGTAACATGTGAAGGTGACCTCAAGGATCCTTGCTTCCCTGAGAAATTTAAATTGATTGTGCAGGGATTACGTGATTTGCTTTGTACTGGTGAGTTGTGGTGTTATTTCAAAATATTCTCATAATAAATGTGTAAAGCATTTGTGTTGTGATTTACTTACTTTGCCATTTGATGTGTCATAAAATTGTTTTGTAATTAAATATAATGTGCTTTGCTTTTTCTTCTTCTGAAGTACTACAATCCATTGTGGATCTTAACTTCCAGTACATTTGTCCTCCATTCTTTATGGTACTTAGCCACTGTTTGCCAATTTACTGTATGTCAGCTCTTCAACCTCAGATGGCTGTCTTGTGTGTTATATTGCCATTCCTTCTATCTTTCATTTTAGTTATCATTATGTTTTTAGGCATTCTTTCATTATTCTTCCTTTCAGTGTGTCCACACTATCGCAGTCTGAGAGATTTTGTAAATTTTATGATATCCACCCCTTCTAATATATCCTCCATCTCATTATTTGTTATTCTCCAACTTTCTCCTTCATTTATGAGACTGTACATTCTTCTGATAATCTTTCTTTCAAATAATCTAAGAGTCTTCATTTCTTCTGAAGTCATTGTCCAAGTTTCTGACCCATATAAGTCTTATCAGAGTTCTGTATATTTTTAATTTGGTGTTTAAGGACAAAAGTTTAGACCTGAAAAGTTTAGTATGTGCGTAATGTGGATGGTTTGCTGTCATAATTTTAAAATGAAGGTCTTTACGTATTTTATTTCCAAACATGCAAAACTTGCAACACCTTCAAAATTAAAACCATTTTCAGATATTTAGTTTTCTCATTATCAATTTCTAGTCCCATTTTTCTTTCCTTAGTTTCTAATGCAGATAATAATTCTTTTAATGTAGGAATATTTCTTGTAACCAAGACAATATCATGAGCATAAGCACATATTTATTTGAATTTGTAAACAATATTTCCTTTATCTACAGTTCTTTCTAAGACCATATTTAGTGCTATGTTAAATAGTACTGCTGATAGTGTATCACCCTGTCTTATTCCTGTTGATATACTAAAAGGTCTACTAATATTATTTGTTTCAAATTCTTTTAATGTGATATCATTTAGTGTCATTTGTATTAGCCTTATTATTTTTTCTAATGTACCATACAATTCTGAAGCTATAAATAATTTATTACTATATATGCTATCATGGAAATCAACATTGAAAAATCAAAGGTAATGAGGATAGCACCGAGAGCAGAACCATTGAACGTTGTAGTTGAAAACCAACAGCTGGAGAATGTGGAGCATTTCAAGTACTTGGGAAGCATA